GCTGATAACGATGGTGACTATGGGGGAATATTCCATAAAGTACAGTAGTTAAAGCTTAGTATTAGGCTTAAGTTATCTTGGATATTAATTAGATCTCTATGGTTGCCGAAATACTTTATAAAATATCATGAGAAGTTTGGGGCGCTTCATTATTGACTATAATGGTGATGTGATGATGATGAAGTTTACTATATAGAAGTGTCTTTTCCGGCCATCTAGAGGTACTATCTCCTCAAATGTTCGCACCTCAGCTCCAACCATAGTGGGTCTGAGGTGGGTGTGGACTCACGAAATGTCCTCCCCTACTCTCTCCAGGCCCGTAACTAGGATTTTTTTTTTTTGGGGGGGGGGGAGGTTCAAATTTGGAAAAAGTGGAGCCTTTTGAAGATGTTAACGACCAACCAATTGCGCTGACCACATAAATAAGAGTTCCATCTTGAAACTTGTATTAAAAGTTGCTACTGTCTATAAAGATTATTTGAACAGGATTGTTTTTTTTTTTTTAAGCAATCTTCTTTCGAGATTTTTTTTTTGCCATCCAAGCGAAGCCAGCTAGCAAACGGCGGGGTTCGTCCGAACCCCCCCCCCCCCTGATTATGGGCCTGCTCTCCTTTCAAACAATCGATCTGCATATCTTTCCCTGATTGAACTCTTGAGTCGGCACCTGACGTCTCAGAGTGTTATTAACTTATTTGTTTATAGGGGCCCGTAACGGTGAAGAAAATTTGTTTCTGATTGGTGACTCGCTCAGTTGGGGTTCAGGGCTAGGCCTATGTAATTTAGTAGCGTCCCCTACAAATTTATTTATTTTTTTTTTAAAGAAAATAATAACGGTTTCTTAGCACCGCCAGAGGGTTAGTGTTTATCTTCTCTCCTGTAATTTCAGGCTTTAAGAAAATATCTCTTTGCAGATGCCGTCTTGTCGTTTAAAATGCTTAAACAAAGGGCATATTACATTCCTCCACATGCATAGATAGAAGAAGTTGTGGGGATTTTTTTTCACTCTTTGTATATCTATAACCGAGTGTATCTGTCTACACAAAAGTAGGCCTACAAAACACACTGAACACAAACCACTTCATTTTCTCCTTATATTTTAATAGGCCTATGTTTTATGGAACATAAATTTTTAATTAATATACAGTATACGTACACAGTAAATAATGTGATAAAGTACAGTATCTATTTTGATATCTCATAATTGGGGAAAAAAACATGTCATACTCTGGCAACTTTTCTAATTTTGAATGCGTTTTAAAAACCTCAGCGGCAACAACAAAAAAGGGAAGTGGAGACAACAAAAGAGGAAGTGGGTTACAACAGTAAATGTAATTACTGGTAAAAACTAAGAAAAAGGTAAAACGTACGAAAGGAAATTACGCCATTATTAGTTAGTTAGTCCTGTCCTTAATTACACTGCTTACTAGTGTAGGCTAGACCTGTATTAAAATGATTAAAGTGGGTGCATACCTAGCCGAGGCCAATCCCCCTCCTTATAGCCCAGGGCTACTACTAGGCCTAGGCTAGCCTAGACAGTAATAGGCCTAGGCTCTAGGCCTACAGTACTTCTTCCTACCTACTGTAGGCATTCGCTACTTTCTCTAGTCTAGCAGGTAGGCCTAGGCCTTCTAGACTTCTTTTTAGGCTAGGGCCAGGCTAGTTGTACAGAAGCAGGTCAACTCGGCCACAAGTCAACTCGGCCACAAAAAGTTCGTCTGCAGTCAACTCGGCCACAAGTCAACTCGGCCACAAGTCAACTCGGCGACAAGTTATTTATAATTAAAATGAAATGTAAATATTCCAGTTTCTGCATCCTTTTTCTTCAATATGATTAAAATGAAGTACACAGTATATTTTAGTAAAATTCTGATCATCGTCTCATCGTCGTGAGATCGTTGTATACATTTCTTCACACTGTACTCTTTTAACAGAGAAAACTGCCACTTACAGAATGGAATAAAATCTGTCAAGTGTAACATTAACAATTTAAAGCAATCTTAATAATTAAGAAAAACACATATATTAATGTTTAATTTTGTTCACGTTAAAACACTGACATAAAACATGAGTACACACTGTAGACCTAATCATAAAAAATTGAAATAGAAAAACCACATTGATTTTTTTAAATATTAAAAAATTATTTTGAATCCGACTAAAATCAAATGAATGCACGATGGCGTGCATTTCGATACTATTTTCTTCAGAACCACTCCCAAGAATTAGGCCTACGTTAAAATTAGGTGGGGTGCAGCATCTAGTATCAATTATCCACAATAGGAACAATTATTATTGTTGAGTGACAGACTTCAGTCCTTCGTATTTGTTCGACCATTGGGGGCTATGTTTGAAACCCGTCAGTGACATGGATGCATCCAATGATGTGAATCACCAGTGACATGTCGGTCCTTTTCAAATATTTACTTTAATAATACTAATTAGTCATAATAACGATAATAAAGGTGATAACAACAGCAATATTAATAGTAATATTTATTTTAACAATACTAATAGTAATAATATGGTAATAATAACGATATTTAAATATCTATTTTAATTATATACTAATTAGTGATAATAACATTGAAGGTGATAATAGCAATAATAGCAGCAATAATAAATTATCGATAACGTTTATTTTTATAATAATAGTAATATTATATTAGTAATAATAATAATAATTATGATACTTATAATACTAGGCCTACTTCGATAATAAAGGTGACAACAACAACAACAATAATAATATGAGAAAAATACCAATAAAACACCAATAACAATATTTTTAAAATTACTATTATTAAAATAATAATACTAAGACTAATATATAATAATAATATGAATTTAAAAAAT